TTGTTTCTATTGTGTTTTGTACACTAAGTCAATTTTTTTTTTTAATGTTACATTCCTTGTTTAGTCCAAAGCATGGCAATCTGCCAGCCGGAGCTTTTAGTGATAAATTCTGCTATACAAAGCAAAAGTTTTTATATGTGAGGCCACTTCCTTCTGCTATTTTATCATCTTCCTGGGTTTGTCTGTTTTCAATAAATGCCTTTGTATTTTCACATCTTTTATATGCTTGTATACACAGACACTTTCCTCTGTATTAAAACTGATAGTAGCAAGTTGGTAAGGATAAAAAAGACAGACTGTTGACTTAAATTTCATTGCACTAATACACTATATGAATGCTTTAATGTTACTGTATTAAAAGATCTTAACATTGATATCAAAAGTATTTCCTGAATTTGGCAGTGGGAAGGAGAGGCAAGGATGATGTTTCATAATAAGTTTTAAAATGGAAATAATCTCTGGGTACAGCTACCCTTTAGTACTACAGATTGGCATATGAAGGTTGGGCTCTCACAGTGAATTTGCATTATTTTAAAGCATCTGAAATTTAAATATATTAAAATTTAAAATCTGAAAAGAAATTATGGCGGAGGTTAAACATCTCTCCTTTATCTGTCCCAAGGGGCTGAATATTTCTGCCTGAGGAGAAAAATCTAAAAAAACTCATCAGTAAAGAGAAGCCACAGAGTCCCCTGCTTTGGAACCCGATCAGTCTTGAGGGAAAGGAGAATTTGAATTAGGGGTGTTCAGAGGAGAAGGATGAGATTGGAGGGAAAAAGTTGAATTTGCAATGCAGCAAACTGGAGAAAAGCTTCTGGAACTTACAAGAAAGAGAAGCTGTCCCTGCTGTCCCTGCCCATTTTAGCAGTCTGTCATGAATTCCTCTTTCCCACAAAAAAATGTTACCAAGGATGTAAGCTACAAATCATCATGTACTAATCTTTTTATGAAGACCTCTTTTTGTTGTTCTGCAGACCTATTGTTCTTTTACAATCATATTAATAGACTAAAAATAACAAGGGTAGCTCTACCAGACTTAAATTACAATTCTGTTTCTTAAGAATTATTATTTTATAATGTGCTGATTGAGATCCCAGAAATCTTTTTCTGACCACAGAGGTATAAGGTACCAAATTCATCCTTCCTGTAACTGTACTGAGGTAAATGGAGTTACATAAGGAATTAATTTGACCTGTCTCCTCCATTTCCTTGGAAAAATTCTTTGTTTTAGCTCTTGCCAAGTTTTAACTTCGACTCTCCCTTGCTTAACATCTTCTTGTGCCTAGAGAAAAGTTTTTATTTCTTTAAGACTATAAAGAGAATTACAGCAGGGGAAAGACAATTAAGGTGAGGATCTGCTTTTTAAATTGAAAGTACACTTCAGTTATGGTAAGAAAACGCCAAAACCTTTTTATTTGGTATAGATGTGTATGGGATTATTCTTACATCTGTGAGGATATGAAAGGTATAAAACAGTACACATAACCATGAGAAGGTAAGGATATAAGTAATGTTTTTCTGCTTAGACCCATTTGTTTATTTCTAACTGCAACAGCTGTAATAAACGGGGACTTTTATTGGCTAGAGACCATAAGAATTTAAAATATTACACATCACCTTTTAACAAAGAATCATCCCCTTTCCCTAGACTCAACAGGTATATTCAAAAATAACCTATGAGAGAAGCTGAAAGCCTACTCTCAGCAGTATATAACTGCAATTTCATGATGCAATAAATTTAATTTTTGGACGGCAATGTGGCATGAAATTCTTTGTACAAATTCAGCTTGGCAGTACAAAGTTATTTAAAACCCAAAACCCTCAAAAACAAGGACTGGTGAGTGGTTTTCCTCCTGATGGTTTTATGTTAGAGTTGATACCATCTGTCTTCCTGCTGCCAGTAAAAAGCTAGGATAAATCTTGGTCTAAACAATGTAACTCATAGCTCACTAACCTTGAGAGAAATGCAAATACATGTTCATATTTAATCTTGATCAATGTATTACCATTAGATGATTAGGATTGCTCAGATGAGATGTAACTAGCATGTAAGCCTGAGTATAGGCTCAGTTTGAGAAGGGCTGAGCATGAGGGATCAGAAAGTGAAATTAATAGAGAGTCTGTGGTTCAGAGTAAGGTTGTAATTACGCAGGGATATTGTCCCCACAGACAAACTTACCATCCAGCAGCCTCCCTTCCTTCTTTCCACACCATCTGTGTGTCACAGTCTACCAGTGCTGCAATTGTGCCAATGCAACTGTTTGTGGGTCCAGAGCATGAATTTAATCAATGGAACAATTCTGGTTAAAAATTATTAGATTAGACAGAACTTTAAAAATCTGGATTGAGTGATTTGATTTACAGCATGGCTTCACGAACAGCTGCACAAACAGCTCAGAGGCCACAATAAGTCAAAATCATTAGTTACCCGTTCCTGCTCCTGTCTGAATTTATGGTTCCGTATTTATTAAACCCAGATTTGTGCACTGCTGACTAGCCAGCAGCAAGATTTGAGCCAGCTCATGTGGGGATATGCCATTGCATTTCACCCACTGGTGAATCAACAAGAGCACCTGGTGTGACCCTTCTAACACTGTGTGTCATGCGCAAGCACAGCTTGTCACTTGGCTGCCACCTGTGCCAGGGGATGCCAGCCTTGGTACACTGGGACTTGGCTGAGGAGGCTTCTTCAGGCAGGGAAAGGACCTGTGGGGCCTCCCATCCATCAGCTGCTGCCATGTGCATGCAGCCAGAGCAGGATTCATGCATGGTTTGCAGCCTGGCTGCAGCTCCCACTGTAGGATGAATGAGGAATTTTAAATTCCCAGGCTTTGCTGAGACTGGAGAGTGATATGTGAGAGTACATCTAACCATGCCAAGCTGGAATTAGCCAGCAGAGGGGAATTCAGACTGTGGCCACTTCTCAGGGTGGGAACAGTCTGGCCTTAATCAGCACACTCTCCTTTGAGAGTTAATTTACATCAAGTTCTTACACTTTCCTGAGATAGAAAAACCCTCTCCAGCTTCATGCAAAATTCCATTCATGATCTGTTTCAGCCCATGTTCTTTGAATCCAAGTCCTCTTTTTCTGTTATTTCAGGCCCAGCTTTCATGCTAGAAAGCATCCTGCTTGTGTCTAGTAATGTGCATAATTAATACAGGTAGAACAAGTTCTAATGCAAAGTGTATTTCAGATCAGAAGAATTACAGAGGCGGTGGACGTTTGCAATTTTTGATGCATTTTGTTTTCCTCACTGGGACATTCTGGTGTTTTTTCCTTAATGACTCACAAGTAGCCCTATCAGTGTTACACAATGGAAACAACCACTGCCTTCCAAAACCAGTAATATTTGATGCTAGGTATAGATAAAGCTCACTTAGAAATCTTTAAAAACCCACAAACCCTCAAATATGTCAAGAATAGGCATTTAACTGCAAATAAAATTCAGGATATGATTTCAAAGTTAATCTGAGAGAAATCTCTGCAAAATTTTTAGAAGAGACGTATCTTTATTCTTGGGGGTTTTGACTATTTCAATGGAACTAGCTTCCTATCCATACAAAAAAGTACCATTCATAAAAGATGTTTGACTTGCTAAGCTTTAACTTTGATGTTCCCCAAAGCAATATAAAATACCTGCATGTAAACTTTTTTTGGCCTAAATGAAAGGTACAAGCACTTTTAAAACCTTTGAGACAACCAGCAAACAGGATTTTCTACAAAAATGTTTTTCCAGCTGAGAAAAATATGATAAGTGTGACAACATAAACATTTTAAGAAACAATACATGGCTAAAACCCATCTGCCAGGCAGAGGAAGTCAAAGTTTGCCTGAGGGGTTTAAGAATACTAGATTATTCAAGTACTGATAAATTAAAAAAAAAAAGGACATGCTGATGGTCTAAGACTTTCCTGCATGGAAACTATTAAGCCATGCCTCTTAAAAAATAAAAACTGTTCAATTGTCTAGATTTGAAACAAAAGTCTTCTTTAATACAATGGCTGGGTATTAATGACAGTGATTCTATCAACAAGATGATGTTTTAGGAACTGTAATGCTTGCACCATTTTCCTAAAAATGGGAGACATCTATGTGAGCAAGCTGCAGAATCAACCAATCAGTTCTAGATTATAAAACACTGCACAACACCTGTATTGTTTAAGATGTATCTATATTTTTGGTATAGATTTATATTGTCTAAGAATGTGTTATTAAGACTGTACAGATGTTCATGTCTCTAAGATGAACTGTTTTCCTTCAGGGTAACTATCCATCTTACCAAATCTAACAGAAATCACACTAAGCCAGACTTGCAAATGAGTGATGACTTGCCTACACAAGAAACAGGAATACCTGCATGGAGGTGAATCTTCCTTCCAACACTAAGGAGCATTATTCCATCTCCCTGTGGCTGATACTGACATCCAGTCTGATGGCCCAACAGCTACTTTATTTCTTTCTGCATTGAGGAAATTCAGAATTTTATTTCTTATACTTGAATACAATGCTACTATGAACATCCTCATAGCTTATGCTTTTGATTAGAAATAAAAACTTTATGAAATCTATAATCATAAAAATTTTATTTTCATTCACTGCTCTTGGAATCTGGTTCAAACTGAAACCCACAGGAATGGCTTAATATTTAATGAGCTTTATAGACCACAAAAATGTGATGTAAGGGTTTCAGTTGTCTTCACTGACTCTCTGCATAGGGACAAATGCCATAACAGATGTGCTCCTCAACTCTTAAAATGAAAAATGACATGATAGATTACTTCTTAGTGGAAACTGAATCAAAACAATTACTGAACCATCCAAAGAAGGACAGAAAAAAAAAAAAAAAAGATAAAGTATATTACCTGAAAATTCAGCAAGTTTTATCATTGTATTCAGCAAGTATTTATCATTGAGGCATCAACCCTGCCAACAGCAGGTTTTGGAGAAAGCCCAATTTTCCACTGAAAATAATTTCAACAGACCTTCTATTAGACTATTATTTACATGAATGACACACTACAAAGTTCTTCCAACGCAGAAGGTTAGACTTGTGGATATGAAACTGGCAAAACATACTGGTGGTAAAAATAGACCTAAGACTACAGAAGACACTGCAAGAAGGAAAAAAATTCAAGCAAGCCTGAGAAAACTGTTGATTGAAAGTCTCAATAATATGAAGAAAAATTTAAAATTCATATGTAATTCAAAACAGAAGAATGGTCAAAATTCCAGAAAACAAAGATGCAAAAAAAAAATTATCCACATGATCAGGAAATAATTTATTGGAGTTTGTCTTGGAATTTGCTGAGATTGTAACCTGTATTGCTCCTGGCATCTTTGTTGGTAAGGAACTACCCTGTATTTAATGATAATGGTGTTACTGTTGAATTGCCAAAAACCAGGGAGGAGTTCTGCTATGGTAGAACTGCTATAGCTACAATGTAGAACTGTGACTGTAATTCTTTACTTGATTTTACACATTTTCAAAAAATCTACTCCTGACCTAGTTAGGTTTACAGCCAGACATGAGCTTTACTTTATACACAGGAAAATGAGGCAACAGAGTGAAAGGTTTGATCTTAAAAGTTTCTGTGACACCTCTCACCTACAGATTGAACAGCTTTGTCCACTAAAGCACCTTGTACACAGAATTAACAGCTTTGCGTTTAGAACACTTGTAGGATTGGGCCCATACAAAAGTAAGTGTATTTATGAATGAAAATGTTTTAAGGAATATCTGCCATCCTTTCAAAGACACACAGCCTTGGAGAGAACACTATAATTTCAGTCCTCTTTTGTACTATGTATCATTAATAAGTCATTCTACTAAAGCAGGACTGGAAAGAACAGATTCTTCTTGAGAAGGTATTAAATGACATATATTCCAGAGTTCCAACACAGTAAGCTATATATTCAGCAAAACACTGAAAATTTCTCTGTCTAAGTTAATAATGAAGGTATAATAAAGAGCATTTTCCATACCTCATGAGTTTGGAATTAGATTTCACTAATAAGTTTCTATGAAATATTGCAACTGGTCACTTGTAACTAGGACAGACATTTCTCATATCTTCCTTGCATCACAAAATAATTTTTCACTTTGCTATTAGTTTGGAGAGTTTTAAAACTAGTTTTGCTTTCATGAAGTCAACAGGAATTTTGCACTGAATGCGTGGGAGGAGGACTGTTCTCCACACTTCACTCTCCCCTGCTACTGGAATGAGTGATTAGTCTTCTTTATTTCGGACTAGAATTCTCCTTGTAACAGGAAGGAAGGAAGGAAGGAAGGAAGGAAGGAAGGAAGGAAGGAAGGAAGGAAGGAAGGAAGGAAGGTTGGTTATATAAAGGTGTAAAACAGCATAAATTAAATGAGAGCAAACAATCTGTGATTGATTATAAAATTAGAATTTTTCTCACGAACCAGATTCCCCACTAATGTAAATGAACAGTTTGCTCAGTGTGCAAAAATATTCAGAGCCCACTGTCAGTTCATCTGTACCAAGACTTATTTTAAACCATCCTTTAATGGCACTTTATAGACATAATTTCAAAATAAATCTCTTACCAAGGTGATGCTTCTGTTTTATGTAATCATATCCTTTTATAACTAACTTACTAAGCTTGTAACAATATTTAATTTCAAATATGAAAGACAAAGAGGAGTATTTTAAAGGTTTATGATTTTTAGATGAGGTAAAACACCAGAGCAGCTGTCAGAGGTAAACCTCAGCTCTCAGCAAAATGGGCTGTAATAACCACGTATTAGCAGCCGTGTCAAGAGGTGAGTGCTCCTGACACAGCTTCCCAGACGGTGCTCTGTCCCATGCCAGCCTACAAAAGGAAAATGAAAAACCCGATATTTTCCTGTTGGCTGACCTTTTCCTCCCACAGCTTCCTTTCCGAATAAAATTTTGACACGAACGGTTTTTTAAAAAATAATAAGGGGCGGTGCCAAGGAAGGAAGGAAGGAAGGAAGGGTGATGTGCGCCAGTACACTTCAGCTTACCTTTACAGACTTTGGAGGCTGCTGAAATCCCGACTCCCATGGTAGGTTACTCACTGAAGATCTTTACTGAAGACTAAAGAAATGCCACAGATGCTCTGGCTCCTAGGGCAGCAAGGAGAAGAGTCCTTTCTGTTATCCACACAGACAGTGCTCACCAACACAAAGCCCATGGGGCACAGTCCCATTTCTACACCAGGCTCTCCATGATCCCTGTGGCAAGGGGAGAACCCAGCACCGGACACAAGAACAAGGAGCAAGCAAGAACCAGCAGAAAGCATGTAGAAACATCAGATGTCTCGGGCTCTTTTCCAGAGACTTCAACCCACCTCATCCCCCTTCACTACAGTGCTTCAGGCCATCTCAGCCCTCACCTTCCACTCTCCTCCCGCTCTCCCCCGCTTCCCTCTATAACCCCCAAAGGAGTCTTTAGACCTCCAAAAAACAGTCAGGGGCTCTGCAGACATTTTCTGGCTCTTGCAGACCCCAAAACACGACCCCAGGCGGCACGAGCCCAAGTGACTCGGCCTAGGCTCCTCTCGCTCCCGACCGCCCGGGCGACCCCCGACAGCCCCCGGGCAAGTCGCTTCAGGGGCCTCGGCGCTGCGGGGCCGCGCCGTGCGGGACCTGCCGGGGAGGGAACACCGCAAAGGGCAGGCGGCAGGCTCCGCTCCGCAGCAGGGCTCAGCCGGGGCGCTGAGGGGGACGGGCAGCGCGGCGCTGGCCGCGACCCTGTGGCGCGGGGGTGGCGGCAGAGGGGCCGGGCGGGGCCGCCTCCCCTCCGCGGGTCACATGAGAGGGGCGGGCGGCTGGGCCGAGGCGGTGGTGGCTGCCGGGGTTGTGGTTGGGCGGGGAGGGACGGGGCTGCGGAGCGCAGCAGCAGAGAGCGGCGGCGGTAGTAGCAGCGGAGAAGGAAGAAGAAGAGAAGAAGGAGAAAGAGAAGGAGCAGGAGCGGCCGCGAGGCGCTGAGCGAGTGGAACGAGCCCCGGGCCTCCCTGAGCCGCGGCCGCCGCGGAGCGCCCTGCCCGCGGTCCCAACATGGACGAAGAGGGTGGCGGAGGTGGCGGCGGTGAGTGCGGGGCTCGTGTGGGGGGAACGCGGCCCCGCTGCCGGCGGCAGGACGGCAGGCGTCCCTGGGAGCTGCTGCGGCCGCGGCCCCTGCCGCCGGTGCTGCCCCGTCCCGCCCGGCGTCCCCGAGCAGAGCCGCTGTGTCGGCGCTACCGAGCAGTGCCCGGGCGGGCGAGCAGGGGTCGGGCCACAATGGGGGCTCTGTGTCCCGCGCCCGGGCAGGGTCTGGCGGGGGCGCGGCGGCTCCGGGGGCGGCAGGGCAGGGCAGGCGGGTCCCGGCCCCGCCGCTGTGACAGCCCCGTGCTCGCTGCTGCAGCTGCTCCTCCGCTGCCAGGGGGGAAGGGGCAAAATATGAAAAAGTACGCGTCTGGTGGTGTAGGAGCGGGGAAAAGAGTAATTGAGCTCTGCGAGGGCTCTGTTTGTGTGTGTCATCTTAATGGAGGCTCGGTGATAATCACGGGGTGGTTCAGCCAGTTTAAACAAGGTGAACTGTTTCCAAAGGCAGCGGCGTTAACCTTGCTAGAGACTACTTTTAGAAAATCCGGACTCGCATGTTGGGAAAGCTTTTATTTGTATTTTTTATCTTTCGGAGACCGGCTTGCGCGCTGCCCCAGTTTAAGGCACTGCAGACGTGCCACACGCTTCCCTCCTTTAATTTATAATGTGTTTTGTGAGTGCGTGTGTAAAGCTGCTGCCTGAAATAACCAGTTCTTGTGTATCATCAGCGATAATGGTGGCTGAGCAGGAGCTGATCCTGCCCTGGGGCAGAGGGATCGACTGCATGGCCTGCCCTGTATTCAGTGTGTCTGTGCCCGTCTGTGCCGTGGTGGTGCAGAATGGAGCGATGAGGGTATATCTTAAACCTGATGCTAAACAGGCGGCCTTTGAATGCACTGGCTGATCTCTAAATAGGTAAAGTAAGGGCTAAGCATTGTATGATTAATAGTTGCGCGCTACTTGCTAATTCTAAATATAATTACCCAGAACTCGGAAATCAAGAGGGTGTGGTGTTTGTTTTGACAACTTGAAAAAATAATGCTATGATGAATCAGAAAAATAATTCTTCAAGCAGTGGGTTGGAAATGTGGCCATTTCTCAGCAGGCATTTCTGCTTTTTTTGACAGTGATAGACTTAACTCTTAAAAAAAATCTGAAAAAGGAAAGCAAAAGACAAAGCGAGCCAGTCCTGAAAAGTTATTATTCAAAGCAGTTGAACACTGTAATTGTAAAGAGCAGAAAGCTCATTTAACTCAAAATATGTTCTTTTCACAGTATTATGGACTTGGATCTGTAGTTAAGGGAAATGAACATGCTTGTTATTTGCACTAACCCTGTATAATATAGTAATCACGTGCAAAATGTAAACTAGAAAGTAGACATATTGCTGAATTAATCTTCCATAAGATGTTAAACATTTCAAAGTTGGATTTGCATAGGAGGACAAATACTCAGGACCTGGGGATGACACAGTCTGCATTTAGCTAAATGCTAATTCTATATGTGAAGCCTGATTTGTACCTCTAGCCTGCAAGTGAAGCTAATATCACTTTAATAAACATGTTGTTTTTTTGGGACAAACTATGGTATAGTGTATTGTTGTAAAACAATCACACACAAATAAGACTGGAATTTTATTTTGCTCTATATGACATTTTACTCTGACTTCTTGTAAGTATTGCGCTTTATTCTTGAATAGAGACCCAGTTTCACTTTTTCCTAGGGATTGCTGTCAGTTTGGAGCACCAGGATTAGTTGGGTTGCTTCTAGCTAATGAATTGGCAAGTTGTTATTTTGTTTGAATTTTTTCCCCTTTTTTTATTTAATGACAGGAAACGTGTGGATTTGACAGCCTGTTTTAAAGCTCTTTATTGCTGTTGAGTAATGAGACTTGTGATACCTGAGCAATGAGACTCCCTTTGGAGCCTGACCAGGGCAGCCCAGTGTTTTGAACTTCTGCAGGACATTCTAAATCCTCATAAAATTGACATTATTGAATGGGAAACTCTTACAGCTAAGCTTATCACTCTGCACAGGTGCTTTAGGAAGTATGCAAAATTATTTAAGGGCTGCACAGAGTCACCCTAATTAGAGACTTGAGCTAGATAAGCATGTAAATATCTAGGACATTAAAGTGTGATTCAGAAGGTAAGCTGCTATTCCCAGTTCAGCTCTGCCTGCTGCGCTGCTCATCAGTTTGATTTGCATCCTATGCTTCAGTTCTCTTATTTGTCAAATGGGGTCAGTTGTTTTACCACCTCTGATAAAAACTGTGAATGAAAACAGAACTGTGTAAAGTTAGAATTTATTATTTTAGAAGCACTTGATGGAAGAGAAATGCTAATTGAGGGAATTGTTGTCAGTACCTCCTTTTCTTTTGTATGTGGAGCCCTAAACAGGGCCATGCATTTATGTTATACAATCCACACTTCCACACAAGCCTCCCATTGATTTCAGCAGAGGCTCTGTGCGTGGATTATTGATGCGATATGATCCGAGTCAGTTGGTGTTTGGCTCAACTTGCTTTTGTGTCCTGATTAAAGTGTGGTTTGCTTAGTGCAGGAAATTTCTCCTCCTCCCTCTCCCCAGTTGGTTTAAAACTACGTCTTGTGTGATTTGAGTGGCTTTTCTCACGGGCTCACAGGTGGCGGTGCCAGTGGCCGGGACCCTGGCGTTCAATAGTGCTCTTGGTGTGGTCACACAGTGAGCGAGTGATCCTCTGTGAAAGGTCAAAATGTATAAACAGTCAGTGCTTCAGGCACAGGACAGAGCTCCTGCTTGTTTTCTGAATTTGACTCTAGTCATCCAGCAGCTTTTCAGTCCCCCCAATTCAATTCTGTGTCATTCCTCTGGAAAAAGACTGCAAGATTGGATACTTACCAGCTTCTGTATGTTTGTTTTACACTGTCTCTGCAAAGGGCTCTAAACAGACATGCCAGAAGGTTGAAGTCCTGCTTGTACTTGACAAATAGACCAAATTATAGCACTAATTATGGCATTGAGGTTTCCCTACTGTTCCCCAAACTCTGTGCTTTATTTCTGAATGTCGAAGCTCTTCTGGGATAGAGCAGTTGGGTTGCCAAGCTCAGTTAGCTGCTGGCTGTGCTTGCCAGCGATGGTGCCAGGTAGCACGTTGGGTCTGTGATGAGGACAGAATGTAGACAGTCCTTCATTAGGAGAGGCACCAAGAGACCAGATCGTCACACAGAGGACTCGGGAGAGTGGATTTGCTGCCAAACCAGACTTATTGGATGACTTCTGTTCTTCTGCAAGGCAAAACAGTTACCTGCTTATAGGTAAAAGGTGTTAAATGTAACAAATGACCCAGGTTTTTCTTAGGAAAAAAGTTTTAAAATTGAATAAAAATATGTATTCATACGAGCAGCCTCATCTCTTCTATTACGTTGTAATACCTTTCAAAGGTAAACCTTAAAGATACCAGAAGCCATGAGGCCTCTTCATGACTGTAGACATTTGCTTTGCATTTAAGATGAATTCTGCATGTTTTCTTATTTTATGAGTTTCTTTTATTATAAACAAATGTGTTTTAGTGCAGAAGAACGTTAAATATGTTTCACTCCCTACTCATCAAAGAGGATAACTTGTACCAGTAGTTTTAAATAAAATTTATCCCAAAAGTCCTTTGGAGGAGGGCTTGTAGTGTTAGATAGCACTTTGGGGAAATCCCAAGAATATAAAAATGCACCTGAGTGTTGGATTGACCACTCAGCTTGGTTGTTGGGAGTGAAAAAGAGCAGATACAGAGATAGTCTATTTATGTAGTTCAGTTTTTGTGTTCTTTTGCCAGCCAGCAGAGCTGCATGCTGAGTCTCTTGTTTGCTAAATAGATATTTCTCCATGCTAAACTAATCTCATATTTCTTCAGATTACCTGTCAGCTCAGTAGGATCTTAATTTTTAGCCCAAAACCATTTAATCTGTTACCACTGCAGTAAAAAATGTCGTAATAAAGTCTTATCATTTGTGTTATACATATTAGTTATTTTTGGTGGTATCAGAAAATGTGTTTGTTAATTGCAGTTAAGTTTTTCTTAGCCTAATGCTTGATATTTTTAGCTGTGACTTGGAAGAAAATGTGAAATTTTTGCTGATAGAGTTTCCAGAGGTGGTTGGTTGCCAGACTTGATGTATTGTTATATAATGGTATTTGGTGACACGCTCAGCAATGTAAGCACGCTGTGGATTTAGGGGAGCAGTGTGCCTGTAACAGCATCTGTCTGTACTGTTGCAGCTGGGAAAGAAGGCTGTGGGATTTACAGGCAGGAACTGAGTGTATTTTGCAGAACAACAGCTGGGAGTCACAGTAACAGCCACATGAAAGTGGGCTCCCTGTGGGCCACTGTTACCAAATGGATATTGCAATCTTTTAGTATCACTGGAGTTCCAAGAGCTTTCACCAATTGAAGGGATGCAGGAGGTGAGACAGCACAGTGATTTTCAACATATTCTGCAGTTGACATCAATTTTTTTCAATCCCATCGTATTTATTGCTTCCTGTTCTTTTTTTTAATGCTTTTTCAAGGGAAAATGAAAAGAAAGGCCTTTCCTCCATTTTCTTCCTCGTACAAGGGTGTGTGGTGATAGGACAAGGGGTAATGGCTTTAAACTGAAGGAGGGTGGATTTAGACTAGATTTTAAGAAGAGATTCTTCATTATGAGTGTGGTGAAAAA